CACAACGCAGGTGCGCGTCTGGGGTGGGGGGGGGGGGGGGGGGGGGGGGGGGGGGCAATATCGTCAAAAGGGATGCTTGACCATGGAGAACAGTTCACCCTGATTTTTTTTTTCTCCTTGATGTCAAAAAGCATTTTTTTTTTTCCATCTCATTATTATTGCAAGGTGCAAGGCTTGGCAGAAGACTTTCTCATTGAAATGGAAAGTTGAAGCATCCATGGAGCTGCGGTATTTATATGAAACCAAAAGAAACTCACAGCTGGGAAAAGGCAAGATTCACGGTCAGGATATTAAGGCAAATAATATGATTTGCCTTTTATTGTAGCAAAAGGGAAATAATGATCACTGTTACTTTATTACCATTTAAAGTGCTTATGCCTAAAGAGGTCACATGTATGTAAATCATAGCGTTTCCTTGAACAGCTTACATGAAAAATAGTCTCTTCGCTGGTTGTCCCTGTCCCTATTTAATCAAAGTCATGGGCACTGCCACTTCTGTGACAACCGATGCCAAACTCAGACTTGGAAGTCCATGCTTGTGCCAAATGCCATGGAAAAACTGCTTGTGCATAAAGGGAAGTGGTTAGCAAGCATGCTCTGCCACTTCAGCACTGCCTGTGGTGTAAGAGATCAGCAGTCCCTATACTTGCCGTGAGCTTGGCTTCCGGCAAGGTGGGGACCAGCACCTGGTTCCAGGACACCAGGTCCTGGCTGCACAGCAGGAGTGACCTGCACAGGGTGAGATGTGCGTCGTTGCAGGAGGAAACTCATCGAGGAGCTGTTCTCTTCCCTCTCACAGGGCTGAGGGATCTTGCCAAGAGGCCTTGGACTTGTCCCATGAGTGGGCTGTTGGGTGGCTGATTCATTTTCAGCGAGAGAGTAGAGGGAGCATGGACCAGGTAGACAGTTTTTGCCCAGTGTAAAGTGTCATCTTCTTCCACATCTTCCTCTTGGTAGGTGATGAAATACACTCCAATGAAGACATGAGCATCCATGGACAGAGGCTTTGTGATGGGCTCTCAGCTGAGGACCTCTTCTTTGATGCAGGTTCCTTGTCCTGAAGAGTAAGTGATACTGCTGGGCTTTGCTGTGGGCCTTCTTGAGCATTTTTTAATGTCCCTGAGCACTGCCTTCAGGCACAACTTTATCCCAACCCTCCATCTGAACAGTGATCCACTTACAGACAGGCGGATAACTAACTATAAATGGCTGCTGTGGCTCAATGTTGAAAGCTGTGATTGTGCATGTATCCCCTGTGAAAGCTGATGCACACCCAGGGCTTTGCTGGGGACCACAGGAAGCTTAAATGGCAACTTCAGAGAGCAGCACCACGGCAGAGAAAAGGCCGCGTGTGCCAGGCATGCCGGACAGCCTTGTGAGGGATGTGCACATGGTCAAGTGATGCCTGAAGCTGGGGTGGTGGTGGGAATATTGGGGGCAACCTGGGACTGTTGCATGAGCACAGCAATGAAGGACTTTGGCCTTGAGAGCACTTCTAGGGCCTTTTTTAATCACCAAACAGATAAGTCCCAGGTCACTCTGTCACAGTCTGCTAAGCAGCATGTTTTAGGAGGCTTGTCAGAGTTAAACTCCAGCTGTCTATAGACAGACTTAGGAAGAGGTGTCTACAAAATGTCAGCAGGAGGTGGGCTGTGGCTAGCGGTTGGGAAAATCAGGCCACTTGGCTGCTTAAATGGGATCTGCGGGAGCTGCCAGACCCATGCTGCAGACTTTACGTTGGAGAAAGAGCGAGAAGCACTCCAGTGACTGGTACAAGAGCAAGATGGCTGGGGACAAGTCAAGCCTAGCACCCTTGCAAGGGACTTCATTGAGGCGAGTGTGTGGGTCACTGTCCTCACCATTAGCAGGAAGGTGAGAGGCTTCCATCTTTCACCACAACACAGCTATTTCTCCCCCCTTCTTGCTGTAAAGGATTGCTCTCCCCTTTTATTGTCGTCACACTGCCTTTATTCCCCTCTCTCGTGGTGAGTCTATCATAACAAACACAGGGACAACTTGACAGGAGGCATTAATCCACCTCAGGAGGGACAAAACCAGCCCATGGACAGTGGAGGTTCCCAGTGAGGTGCTTTTTTTCCTTCGGCCGGGTGCCACCACCAGGGCTGATTTGCTGCTCAGGGTGGGAAGGGACAAGCCAGACAGGGCACCGAGAGGGGCACCGGGATCTCAGTGCAGTAAAAGTGTGTTGCTTGCCAGGAAAACTTTGCTGCTCCAGATGAATTAATTCAGACTCAAATTTTTAAATTATGACTACAACCTGATGGCTAAGAGAGGCCATATCTGAAATACAATCATTGATACTTCAGTAAAGACTAAAAATCCTCCAGACTGACTCACTTAAATCATATGTAACATGTCTCCACAACAAGATGAGGTCTCATTTTTCAACAGTGTGGGAAAATCCAACTATACTTGGAGCGTAATAGATTGGAGGGTGCTTAGCAGTCTAAAAATACAATTCTAAGGACTTAAAAATTTCTTCTCAACCTGTACTGGAAATTATCTTCCCTTCTTTTTAAATTGGCAACTATCCTGCTGGTAAAGTAACTTCACAGCTAATTTCTTCTGCTATGTTAAAGTCACATTCTCAGGCGGTGACACCTCCCCGTTGTTTTTTACTGTGCCTTTTTTTTTTAATGTCTGTGAGATTTTTCCTTAATTTCATTTGAACTAAAACTCTGTCTTCAGTGAAGACAAAAAGACAAAAGTACTGCTATTTTAGCAACATATCGGTATGCACTATATTTGTGTGTGCGCCTGTGAGCCTGTAGGTTATGTGGTATCACCCTATTTTAAAGGAAGTTGTCTTTTTGTTAGATACACACTCTTCATTAAAGAGTTCTGCACGTAGCAGTAATAAGTATCTGATGTCTTGGGCTGGCCACAGATTCACAGGCTGTATTAGTAGATAGGATTAGTGAAGAAGAATAGGTCAGAAGGCTGCAAAGCTCCTGTCCCTTCAGATTTCCTTCTTTAGATCATTAGTCTCATCGAAGAGCTCCCTCGAATACAGGGAGCAGAAACTGAGGAAAAGGCTGGAACCATTTTATTTCGCCAGGACGTACTGAGGAAAGGGCAATTTCTGGGTCATAAGCTCCACCGAAAATGTCTGTCCAGTTTTCTGCACAGGCACCCTGGAGAAACAACAACAACAGTTTTCTGAGCAGAGAGGCAGCTGTAACAGAGCAAGGAGAGACTATCATAGGTTTCTACCTACTGGCTTTAGGTATGTACTCAGCTTGGATGTGAAAGGAGAAGCTCCTAAGTAGAGTTTGGTATAAAGTTCAAAGTGATTCATTTGGGTTTCATCCCTAATGGAACAGGATGTTAGAAAATGCAACCTTCCTTCTTCAGCTATTACAAGGTCAGAGAGGTACAGCTTTCTTTTGTTAAAAAGAGATTAATAATCAATGTCGAAATCTTGAGGGAAAAAATAGTCAAGCCTGTAAACTTTTAACTAATGTTCATTAAACTTAATATGTGGGAAGATAAAAAAAGTACCCTAGCGGAAGTACATGATACTTCTATGTCTTCTCGTGTCTCGGTAGCACCAAATTGATGTTCTGTGATTTCCAGAGTTTTGACTGCTGACAGTCAGTCGGCATCCTACAATTACCTCCTGCAGAGACAGAGAATATGTTTCTGTAATTTTAAACTTTTTTTTAACTATTTGTACTGCTCTTGCTTTAAATGTTTGATACACGTAGAAATAAACGTCTTCAAACAGGATCTATGAAAGATCTAAGTACGAGAACATTATCCTGTGTTAGCAGTCACAATACCATGCATTTATTTTGGTTCTGCTGCAAGACAGCTATTCTAAGTGTATAATAAGGATTTGAAAATGGCACCCAATATGAACTCACTTTGATCCCAGAGCAATTTTGTTTTGTTTGTTTAAATATTGTCTATTTGGGGCAGACTCATTGCAGGATACAAGGAAACTTTATGAAATCTCAAAGAATGCAGGTTTGCTAGGTAGTCAAAATTTCCAACCATAAAACCTCACAGGAAAATACAAGAAAATGTAACTTTTATTAAATCTATTCCTCTAAACAGCATATACAAAAATGTTTCTGTTTTTAAATGATTGACCTAAACAGATTTTTTCTTTTTCTAAGCTTATCACATATTGCAAGTAGCTTAGCCTCAGCTTATACTTGGGAAAGGTCTATCAAAGTTACAATGTAAAATGCTAAGTATTTTGATATGTTTACATGAGACTTTCTTTTTTTACCTATAGGGACTAGGGAGGAAAAAGTTGTGCTTAGAATAAAAACAGAGATTCTAGTAGAAAAATGTATGGCTTCTATCTTAGGAGACTTAATTAGAAGAGTGGCCATAAGATAAATCAGAGTTGTTCCAATTTATCTCCAATCTGTTCACATCTGCGTATCCCTCAATGAATGGCTGAGAAACGGCTGCACCATCAGCTAATGAATTAATCAGTTGTACTTAAGACTAGAAAGAACATCTTAGGTCAGCAAGGCCAGTCCCCTGCTGTGACAATATATAATCTCATTTACGAAGCTATCATGCTCTCTCATATAACTGGCTAGGGTTTTTTCAGTGTTGCTACCACTCCTCCAATTGACAGCCTATTCCTGGTTTTGTTTCTCTCTTGGGTAGCAGCCTTTCCCTAAATTCTTAGCTAAAGTGATCACACCAACTTTATACCCTTTTTGTCACTCCTTTTAATTGAATTTTTTTTTTTTTTTTTTGCCTGCAATTAACTTCCTAAGGCCAGTCTGTGTTCCTGAAGGAACAATCATACCCTGTGGTCAACCTTCGTATTCCTATATTAAGCAAGAGAGATTTTTTTTTCTTTGGTTGATTGGGGGGGGACATATTATAATTTATTTATCTCCTGTCGTAATATCCTTTCCCCTGTCATCCCAGCATATCATCCTAGCAGCCTTTTACTCTGTCTTTTCCAACCTGGACTCTTTTTTTTTTTTTTTTTAAACTTATAGCCAGGACTGAATACAGCATCATAGAATCATAGAATCATTAAGGTTGGAAAAGACCTCTAAGATCATCGAGTCCAACCGTCAATCCAACACCACCATGCCCACTAAACCATGTCCCTAAGCGCCTCATCTACCTGTCTTTTAAATACTTCCAGGGATGGTGACTCAACCACTTCCCTGGGCAGCCTGTT